GAAGAGAAAGCATACTCAAAATGCATATGTGCATTTGAACATGAAGATATTACATACTTGCAAAAGAAAACAAGAAATGAAGCTAAACAACGAAGAAACATATGCAACTGAAGAAGAAAATCAACACATTGCTAATGGAGGCAAAAAAGAATATCCCATGAGAAAAGAAGAGAAAGTGTCAAGAAGATCTTCAAATAAAACAAAGAGAAACACTCGAAGTTTTTATTTCATATCTCTTAAGTGTTATCTTTTAAGCTTAATTATGTGTAATCAGCTTTATAAAGAAACAATCTTGTATACACATGAAATACTTTAAATCTTAATCAGGTTGGATAATTTCATTGAGAGATCAGGTTAGGTCAGAATCTTTAAGATGTCAATAATAGTTGTTATTGAGGTTATTTTCCTTGACGAAACAAGTTTAGTCAGAATCTTTGAGATGTCAATAATAGTTGCTATTGAGGTTATTTTCCTTGAGGGGTCAGATTAGGTCAGAATCCTTGAGATGTTAGTGACAGTTAGTCATTGAGGTTGTAATCATGGAATTGATTATTGCATTAAGTTATATTGATAAGGAAAAATTACTCTGGTGGGTGGACTGGACTAACCTAGTAAACGGTGAACCAAGATAAAAATATATGTGTCTTTTATTATTGTTGTATGCTTGGTGTATGAGTGGTGTTTGAAGTTTGGATGTTCGAAAAGTTTTTAATTCAAGAAACCCAATTCTAACCCCCTTTTTGTGTTTCAACGAACCTTCAATTTGTAATAGAGTTGCATGCCAACCTTATTGATTTAGTCTTTTGTTTACAAGATTGTGGATGAGTGAAAATACCTTATTTTATGTGTTTTTCATCTATCGATGATTGTTTTTGCTAGGTGTAATTCATTTGTGAACTAGTGTTGTTTTAGAATGTTTGCCATTTCCTTTGTATTTAGAATTCGTTTCATGTTTATGTTATCGTCGTAGTTTAGTGGTAGGTATGTTTCTTCGTGTGTACCATTTTTCATTTGAACCATTGCATTTGTTTTCTGCTTGCAAAACTTGTTGATTCATGATATTTTGGTTGATTACTTTTGGTTCTTTGAGTTTTTTGGCCTTGTTTGAGGACAAACAAGTTCAAGTTGGGGAGATTTTGATAAGTGCAATAGTGTAGTTATTGTGTATACTTTTTATTACACTTATGATTCTTTATTGTTAATATCGGTAGAATAACCCCTCTTTTTGTTGTAAATATGTTTAATTATGTTTTGTGTACATATTGTATTGGTCGATTAGTTTTGTATATGTTTTGTAGGTATTTAAGCATGGTTGAAGCAATGAGGAATAAAATCTCCAAGATGCATTTTTGGATCAATAAAGCAGTAAGGCGAAAGATTGGATCCAAGTGAAGTTATGCAGTGGAAGCAGAAAAAGTTGTTGAACTATCATGGATCGCTGGGATAAATTTCTGTCGTCGTGCGACACTGGGAGAGGAGACCAATTTTGATGTTGCCTCTGCCTTGCTTCGCGTCTAGGTCGCCGGGCAAAAATAAAGAGAGTTAACGGGCGAAGCAGTGTGTCGCTGGGCGACAATAGATATTTGTTTCAGTTGAGGATGTGGCGCAATCTAGGCCAAGTATATAGAAACCATCACCAAGCGATGTGTTTGTATCGTCGGGCGATGCGTGCGGATCAGAAATCCTTTATATTTTATTTTGTGTCATTTTTGTTGTGGATGGTTTTAGGGGTGGTTTTTGTTCTTCCAATTGCATCAACCTCATTTTTGTAGTGGATTAGCTTAGATAACAACATTGGGTTTTGCTTATGGATGATTAGAGGTGGATTTCTCATTGACCGGCACTGACAAATCCGAAGATTTATGGTTTATCTCTTCTCCTCTCTATTTATTTCTCTTTTGTTGGGTTTTGTATGTATTTTACTTTGGACTTATGTATATTTATCGCCCATGGCATTATATAAACCTTGCTATATAAATCTTTGTGGATTGTTGTCTTAGATTTTTACTCTGTTCTAGGGATTTGAGATGTTATATACATATACTACTTAGATTCTTATCTAGGATGATTATCTGTTAGTTTCTGAACTCTAGAGATAGATTTAGAGCTGACATCTACTTGAGTATCAGAGCTTAATGCCTCTGTGTGGTTGTGTTGTGCTGAGAGATCATCAGTGTGATTACATAGTTGTCTTTTATGTTGTTGAGGAGGTAGAGAGATCATTTCCTTGGTGATACAGTTGGTCTCTCAATTTGGGTTAGAAATGACTTAGGTTATGAGTGATATGTAGTGACATTGATGAGTATTGTTAGGTTGAATGTAACTGGTCGGTAGATTTAAGTATGTGATGAGTAGATTATATGCAGGCTTGATAAGTTCTTCCTTAGTTTTTACTTTTGTTTACATTTGTTTTCTGTTGATAACATTTTCTTTACAAACCAAACTCATAAACGCAAGAATTTGTTGAACGGCAACTCAATAACCAATCTATGTGGATACGATACGATATACTCTAAATATCACCCGGTAAATTATTAACTTATTTTTTGCTTGCCGCTATACCGCCGCAACACCTTAGCAGATTACTTTTCATGCCTGGTATATACAACACATTAGAAATTAAGGGCTTTATGTTGACAAACCAATATATCCTTTTAGACATGTGTGATGAGCATCATGAGTCAAAGTACCATTGGTCCTTAAATCTCTCTTCATCTCTTGTTGTGACCATCAACATCATCTCTTATTCTTCATGTTTTGCAAAATTTGCATCACTTTCTTGATTCTTTTATTTTTCTGGACAATCACTAGAATAATGACTATACTTATGACAATTAAAACACTAAATGTGACTCTTGTCAGGTTTTCGACCACCACATATTTCTCTATCTCTAGCACCACCTCTTTGGTTGCCTTGGTATGGGGGTCTTCTTTGATTTGACACAATTGCTTCCTGCTGGTATCCTCTACTAGTCAAATTGTTATAGCTTTCTCTACCTCTGTTGTCGAACCACTTTCCTTTGCCTTTCTTTTCTCTTGATGACTCTGCCAGCAAAGCCACATCACTCTTCAACTTGCATGCAACTCTTTCAGCCATTCTTTATTCATGAGATTCTAGCGTTCCATGAAGATATTCTTTTGTCAATGTCGATAAATTCTTCGACTCTTCTATGGCTACCACAACATGGTCGAACTTTGGAGCCAATGACCTCAAGATCTTTGCAACAACTGATCTTGTTATCAACACTTCTCCATAAACCTTGATTTGATTCACCGGTTTCGTAACCCTAATGAAGAAATCAGTTATGCTTTCACTTTCTTCCATCTGAAGCAATTCATACGTTCTTTTGTGAATTTGTAACCTCATCCTTTTTATCTTTTTTGCACCTCCAAAAGACTTTTCCAAAATTTTCCAAGCTTCTTTCGAAGATTCTACATCACTCACCTTTTCGAAATTGTCTGGACTCAGACATATTAATGAATTTTAAAGAGAGCTTTATAATTCTTATTCTTCAATTCTTTGTGTGTCGTTTCTTCTTCTTTTGATGTGTTTTCTTCAAGCGGTTCTAATCCTTCTTTCACAAGATCCCAAAGATTTTGACAACAGAACACAACATTCATCTGCTTGAAACAATTCTCATTGTTATCAACTTTCAGAATAAGAAGATTTGCTGGAAAATGTCCATTCAGATGATTAATTGTCATCTTGATTTTTCTTGCCTTGAATCATTCAACCGGAGCTCTAGATACCAAATGTTGGAAATCCACTAAAACTTATAGAGAATTTTTATCAATCTTGATAAACAAGATTATTATCAATACACAATAACAATGAAAGAAAGAGATAGAGTTTGATAAATTTAGGGAAGAAGATGGTGATTTTCTGTAGAGTTTCTCTCTGTCCGCAAACTGTAGAAAAATTTTATTCACTTTACAACGACAAAATTCTGTGAATTCTCTATGAGTACAATATAGGGGTTACTCTCTATTTATAATGAGTTTCTTGCTCTCTAAGCCAAAAATCCACAAAACAAAAAGTTCAAAATAACTATTTAGACCTAAGTCGAAATTTTTGTGAAACTAACTATTTCGACACTTCGACAGTTATCACAACTCGACACACACAATTAATTTCGAAACAATCTTCTTTATGTCGAGCAACCTACTTTGACACAAGGAATTTCAATCTCAACAAAAATTATGGGATCAAAATTTTAATTTAATCAATATTAAAATATATTTAAAAGAAAGATTTTTTTATCAATTTAATAAAAACATCAAACAATTTAATTATTTTTTAAAATATTTTAAAAATGAATGAACTTATTGTTTGTTTATTTACTATACTTTTACTTGCGATTTTATCTGCATAATTGTCTACGATTTATTTTATTTCGGAAAGAGTGCATGTGGTTTTAAATTAAAAGTGAAAAAAAAAAAAATTTATAGGGTGTTTTAAAATATATGGGGTAGATTAATATATTAATAACTTATTGAGATCATGTAAGGAAATACATTCTTCTTGAAATGTTTATTAGGAAAATCTAATTTTATTACAGTTTCATAACTATCTCAACCCCAAATATAACATCTTTGAAGTGATTATATTCTCAACCAAAAAGAAAAGTGCTTATATATTTCACATCTATAGTTTCTATTATTGGTTTTCAACGTGAATCTAAAACTTAAGGAATGAAATTTGTTCTTAAGAAATTGAAATATGATAAAATCATTATGTCAATAATATCAACAACTGAGGAGTTGTTTTAACCAAAACACACATAACAACTCCAATAAGATTCTTTTTCTTAACCAAATATTCTATCAACTCCACTGATTCAAGAATGATTACACATAACACACCCTCTAGTTACATATGTATCTATATCTATATATAGCATCACAACCAGAAATCTACTTCATCATCATCAACAATATCTCATTCTATCAAAATCCTAACAAGAGTCACTCTCATTTCTATGCAAATTCAAGTCAGCAAAATGGCCAATGTTTTCCTACACACTACACTTTGCCTCTTCCTCCTAACCACAACCTTTTTGCTTGCCAACTCCGCAAGAATCCTAGATGAATTCGACTCTCCGTCACAAACTATAGGCAATCTACCCGGACCTGGTGCTGGTGCTGGCGCTGGCGCTGCCATTCCTTCTGATGCTAGCGCTGGCGCTGGCGCTAGTGCTGCCATTCCTTCTGGTACAACCATATCTCAAGCAGGCCCTATTGTTGCTTCGCCAAGTGGCATAACACCTGCAGCCACAAACACTAACACTGTCACACCGGGATCAGGTGAAGTAGATACCAATGCAGACCCTTCAGAAAATGAACTAGCACCATCTGATGGTATCGCTCCAGTCGGAAGTCCTGCAACAGACGAAACACCAGAAGCTGAAGCGCCACTCCCGGCTTCTCCTAATGTTGTAACACCGGTGGTGACTGCCAAGCCTGTGGCGAAAGAGCCTTCGTTGTCTTTCTACATGCATGATATCCTCGGTGGATCACATCCATCAGCACGAGTGGTAGCAGGAATCGTAGCAAACACTGACGTAACCGGCTTACCATTCTCCAAGCTCAACAACAATCTCTTCCCGATCACCGGAGGAATTCCATTAGTCAACCCAAAACTCAACGGCATTGTCACGAGCAACAATCTACCTAACCTCGTGGGCCTCAACGCGGCACAATCTTCAACTGTATTCAAAAACAGTGGCACCAGCAACACTGTCTCCGGCGGAAACAACCATCCCTTTGTTTCCGCGGGGAACCTACCTGGCGGGTTCACAATTCAGAAGCTCATGTTTGGTTCTGCGACGGTGATTGACGATGAGTTAACAGAAGAGCATGAGCTTGATTCTTCTGTGATTGGAAGAGCGCAAGGGTTTTACTTGGCGAGTTCGTTGGACGGTACTAGTAAGACCATTGTGCTAACTGTTTTGGTGCATGGTGAGGAGCATCATGATGGAGTTGATGACACTATAAGCCTGTTTGGGATTCATAGGACGGCGTCGTTGGAATCTGAGGTAGCGGTGATTGGTGGGACTGGCAAGTTTGAGAATGCTAGAGGGTATGCTGCAGTTGAGACACTTTTGAAGGAGGATCAACATACCACAGATGGAGCTGACACCATTCTGCATTTCAATATCTATCTCACTCACTAGTCTAGTCATTATTACCTGCCTTTGCCTTTCGGCTTTGGTGTTTCATGTTTGGTTTCTGTTTGTTTAAAATTGTCTATCCTTAAAGTTATATGGTGTGAGAAAACTCTGTTGGAAATTTGTAATGCAATGTTGCAAAGTCTACATTTCCCTATCTTGTGAATCATTGTTATTGAAATACTCATTTATGATTATTTAACATTTGTTGCTAAAATCGTAGCTATTGGTATATAATAAACATCATGAAACAATTAAGAGTAGCAGATTTTGAAAAGATGATATACAAAAAAGCCATAATAATCATTGCTACATTCTCTAGAAACATTTATAAGCAATAAAAAATTCTTTAAATTTATTGAATAATTGATGTATCTGATATAAAATAATGACTAGATATATCATTTATTCAAAAAATCTAAAAAGTTTTTGTTACTTATAAATGTGTTCCTAAGATGTATATTGAAAAGAGAGAATAAAAGTCATTTTCAAACAATTTTTTTTTGCTAAAATACAATTATTTTAAAACGGAAGGAATAATATATATCAGTAAGGTTTGTAATATAGTCCACCATTTTGCTTAGCAGTGTCAATCGTCTTTTCCAAGATCAAATCCTGTAACACACAATGGATATCAAAGAAAGGAGTTTGACTGTTTTTATTGTTTTACTTTGCTGATAGATAATAAATTGCAAGACAAATTAAGAACATTTGATACATCTTAGATAGTTATTAATGGAAACAAAACAATAAAGCATTTGTTTGTCGTAGTTGAAAGAGAGCCATTGGCAACTTCAATTTTGAAATTTCTTGCACAAGGTTTGTATGTGGAACATAAACATGATTAAGAATGACATTAAGGTATGTTGATCGTGAAAAATTCAACTATAATTAAGAATGACATGCACTAATGTGTTGATCGTGAAAAATTATTTCTAAACAACAGAGTAAAAAGGGGTTTGAGATTCGAAAAATTGTACAATTGATCTAGTTATTTTTTTTTGTGAACAGAAATGTAGTTGAGGAAGATTACGCCTCTTGATTAGAAGTAGTTTGAAGTTGAAAATTAAAACTAAATTTCTTAAATTTAAAAATAATTTAGTATGTATAATAAGGAAGATCATTCATAACTCTACTCATTCAGAAGTTTAATCCAATGAGGTAACTTCTCTCGACAATATAAGATATAGTGATTTAAATCTTTTATAAATAAGAATCATTCAACTCAATACCACCACTGCATACTATAAAGATTTATATCTTTCAATTGCTCTTAAAAACAAGACAAATAACCGTGACATGTGATGATAAAGTGGAGCAACAACTTTTAGACAAACAAATAGCCAAGAAGTTTGAGAGTAAGACCTTGGAAAAGTTGAAGTTAAATTTAGACAAACAAATAGTCATTTTGTAAAGCCAAAAGATGGCATCAAAATAATATGGTTAGGAATAGACCACCATTATTAAGGACGTATGACATATAGTTTAAGTTAAATTTATTGATTAAAAAAATCAAACCAAATTTTATTTTAAAGAAAAATATGAGACTATGTGCTTATTTGAAAAGTCTTTAATGCCAAATAAATTAGCTAAATCTATTAAATATAGATATTTTATGCTATAAAAGATGCGATGTCTCATTGGATTATAGCAAACTTAATATTAAAGAAAATGATCAAAATTATAATTACTATCATCAAATTCATAAGTAAGAGGTAACAGAAGCGTTGAAAAGGATGAGTAACTGCGCGGCAGTTAGGTCAGACAACACACTACTACGAAAATGGGCTTTCACAGCGCTTTTTTTTTCCCTTTAAAAGCGCTTAAAAGCGCTGCCGTAGCCAGCGCTGGCGTAGGCTACGAAAGCGCTTTTTTCTGGCCAAAAGCGCTGTCGTAGGTGGACCTATCCCAGCGCTTTTTCCTTAAAAAGCGCTTTGATAGGGGGGTCTTTCCCAGCGCTTTTTGAAAAGCGCTTTGATAGGTGTGCTATTTAAAAAAATTTTTTTTATTTATCAGGCCTTTTACAGCGCTTTTTATGGAAAAAGCGCTTTGATAGGGGGGTCTTTCCCAGCGCTTTTTCCATAAAAAGCGCTTTGATAGGGGGTTTCTATTTAATTTTTTTTTATTTATCATGGCTTTTACAGCGCTTTATGGAAAAAGCGCTTTGATAGGGGGGTCTTTCACAGCGCTTTTTCCATAAAAAGCGCTTTGATAGGGGGTTTCTATTTAATTTTTTTTTTATTTATCCTGCCTACGAAAGCGCTTTTTAGCCAAAAGCGCTTTCGTAGCTCATACAAATTTTTTAAAGTGAAACCTATAATTTGAGGTTCCCTGTGCGGCCTGTAATTTTTTTTGGTCCAATAATTTAACCTGTAATTCAATCCTTATAATATTCACAGAAACCAGTATTATATTAACAGAAACCGGTATACCATATATAATTCACTCCTTATCTATATATATGTAACTAAATCATATATAACTAAATTTGTAACCATATATACATTTGTAACCATAACTAAATCACATACAAAGTATCGTGTTAATTTGTAACCATATATATATACATATGTAACTAAATCATATATAATTACATCGAAAATAATGCTCCACCGACACGGTCGTCATCCTGCAAAGTATGAATATGAACAACACGGTAAATTAAACAAACAATATTAAAGGCTCCAACACAATCAAACTAACACGTACAATAATATTTTATTCATACCCATCAGAATAATCTGTTTTCAACATAAAATTGACATATTTCCTCTTTGACTTCTTCCACTTGAACTTTCGTGTACGACATAGTATAGAGGTCATCAAAGTACTACATAAGAAATTATTACTTCAGTATATGCATGATGTTATTAAATGTAGAAATCATACAAAATTATTCTAAGTTATAAATCCATACCGTGCTTGGAATCTCTACTTGATTTTTATGAAGGATTTCTTTCATAAACCTCAAGCAAAAGTATCCGCAATCTACATCGTTATTCTGTAACGGACACTGCATAGAAAAACAGAATATATTTTATAGTTGTCGTGTAATTTTATCAAGTAACATTATTATTATAAGCAACTAATTTTGTACCTGCACTTTGATCCAAGTAATATTTGATGATTTACTCCGGGGTACCTGTGCGTCCCTTTGACTACGAAATATTTGTATTGATCTAAGAAAATAAAAACATATATTTAGATCAATCTCACAGAAATAATTAAATATATAAATATACACGAATAGTTAGAACGATCTCACTTACTGATCAACAGTTTCCTTCATAGCGGGATAGTTAGTCCATTCCCCGTCTACCGAATTCAGAAAGTACACAACTTCTTTAATCGGATCGATAGCCAACAACAACCAGTGTTTTCTAAAAATTTAAGCAACAGTTTAGAAGAAAAGTTTCTACGCAAAATAAACAAAGATATATTAGAATAAATGAAAAACTCACCCCACTGGAACAGTGTTATACGGCAAAATAAACAAGCTATCTGGGTTGCCGACGTAGGCCGTGTATCGATTCACTAAGTACTCCCTAACTGAACCCGGTTCCCTGACAATTGTCGCTCCGCTGACAATATGGGCAGACAAGAAATGGAAGCGTCTTGCCAATACAGTCTCGCGCATTTTTTTATCATACAACAACCTTAAATAAAAACATATAAACATTAGACTATTTTCATTGAAATGTGTAAATAAATTGTTCAACTAATTAAATGATATATTTATCGGAATACCGGATGTATGCGTGAACATTGCCGATGCCTAATTCACCATGCGTCATAATCTCAGTCATTTCGTCCATTCCTATCGTTTCTTGGCAGTCAAGACCAAAGATATCTGCATCCATAAGGATTGTACGAATACCACCTGACTTCAAATCTGAGGTTTCCAAAAGTACTCCAAGTGTATTCCGATATCGAGGTACAAAAACGCCTCTTCCCCCGCCTCTTCCCCCCTTATGCATTGACTTTTTCGGGGGTGGTCTGCTACGAACAGGCTGGGTCACTTGTTGTGACACTTTCGCAGATACCTAACAATCATATAACTTAGGTAAATTATAAAATCGTTCAGTTTTAAATTCATATCATATAATAAACAATTTAAGTGTACCTCTGGAATTGATGCCATAGACTCGCCGCCTTGCTGCAAAATCTCCTTACCCTTATTAGCGGGTTTTGTAGGAGGCTAATATTAAAAAATAATTAACTTAACGGTTCAGAATTGACATTTGAAATCTAAATGATTCATATTAACGGTTTTAAACATACCTCATCATCAATGAAAATGAGGTCCAAGGGCCATGCAACAAACGACCCTACTGCGTCTCGCACCGATCTTATATCCAAGGCCACGTCAGGTACCGGTACCAACGCATCGGGATCAATAGGATAATCTACTGATACTCTCAGGTGTCCAGCCGGGATCGGTGTATTATGAATTAAATCTCCCAAAGTGTTGTACACTTTTCCCTTGCCAACAAGGTGATAATCTGATGCCATTACGTATAGTTGGCAAGACGAAATGCCCTAAACCAATATGCATACATATTACTTTTAATTCAATAATAGAAAGAGGTGGAATAAAAATGAGAAACTTGAACAATAGAGATTTATCAATATATTTATAATTACCTCAGGAAATTTATTCTGACGGTTGATACTAGCGTTGTCACTAGTTTCTTTCGCCATTGCCGCATTGCCCTTTTCCCTCATTAATACCTCTTTATCTCTTTCCAATGCATTGACTTTTGCTTGTAATTCCATAAGTACATTCATCACTTCTGCATTGGTAGGATTTCTTTTCCGATTATGCTGGTAGAAAGAGGTTGGAGTCACACCGTGACCTTTACCCCTAACCCGACCGGAATACTCAGGAACATTCAGTGCTTTACTAAGTACGCTCCTCGTATCCTGGTCGTCACCGGTGGTCTCCGTTTGTGACAATGTCTCCTGAAAATAATGGAGATAAAAAAATAAATTAAATAGTCATAAAA